GCTGCAGCCGACCCGTGGAGGGGGCCAGTACTGTGCTCTGTACGCTCGTGCTTCCCCCTGCTCCGTGCTCTCGTGCTCCCCTGTGCTCTGCGGTCGAGTTCGCGGTCAGCACGGCATGGGGCCGGCAGCGGCGCCCGGCGGCAGAGACCAGTCGCGCCCGGCCGCCAGCCCGCGCGGCCAGGATCAGCTGATCTGAGTCAGCCCGCAGAGAGAGGGGGGGGAGGGGAGGGGCAGCCGGACCGGCGCCAGCCGCTCCCGGCACCCGGTCGGGACGCGTCTCACCGGAGCCCGTCCGCTACCGGTTCCGGCCAGCGTCGCCCTCCGATCTGGGGCGACGCGCCCCGATCGCTGGCGCACCGTTACCGCCGCCGCTCGTTAGCCATGCAGAGGCGGCCGTGCAGGCGCCGGCCGAATCGCAATCAGATGGCCGGCGTCCGCCGCCGACCGGTCGGGGCGCCCCGTAATATGTGTCAGCAGTGTCAGCGGCGCGCCGGGCCCTGCGGGCGGCGCCGACGCGCTGCGAGCCCCGAAGCCAGGACCGGGGCGCCCCGTAATATGTGTCAGCGGTGTCAGCGGCGCGCTGGGCCCTACGGGCGGTGCCGACGCGCTGCGAGCCCCGAAGCCAGCACCGGGGAGCCCTCCGCAACAGCCAGCTGCTGGGACGTGACGACCGAACGTCACGCGAGAGTTTGCCGTTTGGTGCGGTGGCGCGTGATCACCTGTTTTTTTTCATTTGGCACAAAACCTTTGGAAGGGTTTGTCAGTGTTGGTTAAACATCTCATTGGATATCTAGCATATTTGTGCGTCAGGTGCTTAAATAAAGAAGACAGAAATGTATTCGCATGATTTCTATACATTTAGGCTGCTGCTAGTTTTAATTATCTGCCCCAAAAGCTCAGCTTGAAAGCGTGACTACCATCCGACTCACCCAGCCGTGGCGGGGTGGGTCCGAGTCGCTTTTGGCGCTTGCTTTACGCCTCTGACTGGGATGGCCTGTGCCCGGTGGCAGCGGTCGCGCTAAATGTCAGATGACGTCAGACGGCGGGAGGGACTGATCCGAGCGTTGCATTGCGGCATGGCAAGCTTTCGCTTCAAAATTCTTCCGTGGGCCGGAACTTCATGATCGGATAGTGGGGGCAGGACTCACGCAATAAGCACTGCTTAGGGTGAGCGCTGATTCCAGAAATCCGTGAGTCAAAAGGCTCGAAGTAAAAATTTGAACACGGGCTATCTGCTTGCCGTCTTGAACAATGAACTTGAAGAATAAACAAACTTGAACCATAAACTTGACAAAATGCTTAGAGACTGGAAGGGCGATATCGTAAGTTTACTGAGGTGGATGCTGCTATTGACATCCCTTTTCTAGGATATATATGTATATATATATATATATATATATATATATATATATATATATATATATATATACATGCGAGAATATTGTGTGCTACGCAAGCTTCTACTTCGAAGTAGGCCTCAGTGTGTAAAGAGCGATGTCGTCATGCCTTTTTTGCGGCAAACGCTGGCATTATCTTAGCAAATGACTAGCTGATCTTCTGACAGAAGTCAGATCTACGCCAATGCTATTCTTCAATAGCACTAAGGGATAGTTTGTTAAGTGTACGCAATCACCCAGGTTGGTTATGTACCATTTGATGTGTTGTGTCTTCGAATCAAAACAGGTCACGCCAGCACATCATCATTATCAGGGCATCAGCATGCCAGTTTCTCTCAGGCCGTAACTTCAGTAGCATTGCAGCATTACAGTGTCACACAACTTCAAAGTTTTATGATCACGGCCAAAACCAAACTTCTACACCCGTTCCAGCCCGTTTTGAGGTGAACAGACCTGTTTGGGGACACGAATAGCTGGACACGGCGATCGAGCGAGCGTTGCCAACGGCCCTCGTCCTTACCGTTGGCGGCTATGTTTAGAAGAACCCGACGTCATTGAGACGCTTCGGTGGGAATTACATTTGCTCCGTAGTACGTGAACCGACTGAATGGCTCGTTTCCGTAATAGCATTGAATGGACAGATTTTCACAGCAAGCCGTATCTCCCGCATGTAAATGGCACATGCCGGTGCTTTTATGCCGGTCTGATCTGGGTAATCCAGCCTCTTAGATACGGCTGACTGGGTGCGGGCCGCAGATGCTCGGGACCGCTGGCGCCGCACGGAGGCGCCGGGCGTCATGTGTGATCGGCCACGGCATCTCTCGGAGATCACTCCTGGGACCGCTGGCCGTGTGTACACTGGTACAGTAGGTCTTCCGAGACTCTCAGCCATCTCCACATCAACCCAGACCCCACGGCTTGTCCCGGAAGGGTCTGACGATGCGACTCTAGTGTCTCTAGCAGGGGAAGACGCTAGACGAGTTTTAGCTTTTCTGGAAATATGTACTGATGAGGTTTGCCGAACTATTGATATGAATGGCGTGCAGTCGTAAACCGTAATTTGGTTATCTACTGTCTGTGTCCTTAGGCTGTGATTTTCAAAACTCCGTAGCCGTCAATTTGGCATTTTCCTCTTCTTTGTTTTAAGCTCGCTATTTATTGATCCATCTGCTAGATACCGTTTTAATGACTGCGCTCTCTTCGTCCGTTTCTGGCTATCTTTCCCTATGCTGGTTTGTGGCTGTAATTGCCTGCCGTCCGTGGACGGGTCGGTCCGTTTGCCTGTCGGATCGTGCCTGATCCCGGGTGGCGCCGTGACCCCTGAACGGCCGGCGTGCGTGTACTTGCGTGCACGCGTGCGTGCGGACGTGTGCGCACGTGCGCGTGTGCGCGTGTGCGTCGACCCAGTGCAGACGGATGACCCAGTTCTGAGCGCATCCCTCCAGCTCCGCCAGGCCCGCCGAGCAGCCGGCCCACCGAGCAGCGCGCGGCGTCCGACATAGCGCCTGGGTCCCAGCGCGATACAGGCAGACGGGCGCTGACGCACGGCGCAGGGCGAGCCGTGTGTCACGGCTGGGTCCGGCTCGGCGGCCGCCGGAGCGCACCTGGTGCCCGCACGCGGGTCGGCGTCAGACCACCGCAGACTCGTGCGGACTCCGCGGTCTCGTCTCGGTGGGAGCGGTCTGTGATGGCGGGCGGCTCCTGAGGCAGGCCGGTACGGGGCTGGCTGGCGGCGCGGACGTGCTGTCCCGTGACGAACACCGTGAGCGGAACTGATGGCGGCCCGTGACGGGAGGGTAACGCTTGGCGGGACGGCCCGTGACCGACGGATGACGTTCGGCGGGACGGCCCGTGACGGGAGGGGGGCACTCGACGGCACACAACGTGACGCTCTCGAACAGTCCAGCGGCGGCACTGTGACTTCTGTTCCTTCGGGTCTTCCTGTTTCGGAGAGCCTCAGGCCGCCATGCGTCGTCACCATCGGTTGCTTTGTCATTGCAAAAAGTTTCTTTCAATCATCCCTCTCTCTCCCTCGCTCACCTCGCTCATAGCCTCCTTAGCCGTTGCACTATCTAATATCTCTCTCTCTCCTCTCCTCTCTCTCTCTCTCTCTCTCTCTCCTATCTCTCTCTCTCTCCTCTCTCTCTCTCCTCTCTCGCTCTCTCTCTCTCCTCTCTCTATCTCTATATCTCTCTCATCTATATCTCTCTCTCTCTCTCTCTCTCTCTCGCTCTCTCCTCTCTCCTATCTCTCTGGCGCTCGTGTCGTGTTTCACTTGTGGCCAGCGACAGCGTAGTCGTGGGCACTTTTGGGCAGGGCTGGAGTTGCGGCATGCTGCTCGCTCATCTATTACCAATCATGTTCTTTCAATGCATGAATTCTAGTAAACCCCAAGACGTTCTAATTAGAGTTTCTCCTCCAGCTTCTCGCACCATTCCGACGAATTGTTTGCGTTCATAGGACATGACCTGGGATAGTAGTGCAGCAAGCCGTGTAGTGGGGGAGCCGAGGCGAATTACACGGCACGTAACCCACCGCCGTGTTCGCCACTGATAACTGACTGATAACTGATCTGTCTTCACGGACATCAGCCATGAATGATTGGATCGACCTTACCGGTGGTTAGTTTTGTTGCCCAAGTTAGGTACACTGACGTTCTTTTATGACGGAAGTATGAATTAGCAGTATTCTGCGCAACCGTTTAACATTATGGATCGTCGGTGCTGTTCAGTACAGTAGTTCGATCGTTTCTACCACTCACTGGCGTGTCACGAACAAGTTTTTATAAAAGGCTTTCTAATAAGCTGTCGAACCCTTATGTGACAGACGGTCATATTGGATGGCAGTCGTATCTGGAGAGTCTCTCCTCCGCAACTCTGACGCAAAGAACCATTTAGTCCTCGTTCTGGAGGTCTGCCTGGTGTATCATTGCTCACTGGAGATGTGACCCTCCCCGGATGCTGCGCAGTGTTAGGACTTACTCGGCGATAATGTCGCTGGTGCTACCGTCTTATGAAAGCTCCGTCGTCCTGCCTTGTGCCATCACATCCACCTCCCTATGCTGCCTTATGTCGCCGACACCTGTTGTCTCATCCCCGCTACCCTGCTCCACGCCAACTTTACTGACCTCTGCATTCTCATTTCCGCCAGCTTTGGCTGCATTTTGCGGCTCCTATCCCGTGAGCTAACTCTATGTCACTGGCGTGCGCTGTCTCGTTGCCACGCTGTCTGACGTCGTGTCCAGATGCCGCAGTCTCGTTCCCGCCGTCTGTCACGCGTTCATCATCGCATCAGTGAGCGTGGCTGCACCGCTGCTCACTGATGCAATGATGAACGCGGAGTCCGCCACGGTGGCCGTGCGCCAAGCGACCTGATCCTGCCGTGGCGGCGGCCTTGTTTTCGTGCCGAGCCTTTAACCGGGTGTTTGCGCTGCGCCTCTGCCGCGATGGATCATAGCTCAGCACCGGCGCGGCGGCGGACATGCGCGCCAGTGTCGCCCTCGCGGCACGCACGTAACTCGCCGGCTGTCGGACGCGGGCCGCGTGACGGCCGCGGCGCGGCGCGCCACCGCTCACGGCCGCCCCGCCTGTTTGCCGCTTGCAGACGCTGAAGACCGAGGCGTCGCAGCGTGAGGCCCGACTTCGCCTGCAAGTGGAGGAGTTAGAAGCGGCGGTCAAGGCGCTGCTTCAGTCGCAGTCGCGGGAGCGCCGCCTGCTGGTGAGTGACGCGGCGCCGCCGACCCCGGCGACAGGTCACCGAGGTCACGCGGCGCAACAAAGCCAGCCGACAGCACCGTGACCCCATCAGCGCTTCTTGCGTCGGATGCGAGATTAATTGTGTAGAAATTAAAGCCCGAGTTGTGTGAGCGACCTTGGTGCCACATTTAGGTAGCGACGGGGAGGATGCGCGGTAAAAACGAGGAAGGCGTTGCGCTATCCTCTACTTGTGTTGCAAGGATTAATGGGATGTGAAGATGTGACGCACGTGATGGGGCTGCATATCAATCTCTGCGATTGGATCGGGTGCGTCTCCACGTAAGTAAGCGGCTTTGGTTACCAGAACTTCGCATAGCCATTGGCGTAACATGGACCGCATAGAACCCAACACAATATCATGCTTCAGCAAGCGGCATGCGCAGTATGTCAGATATCTGATCAAAGTTGTGGGTGGTCGAACCACAATGTTTCCCACCGACCCGTATTACCATACAAGTCGAGCCGAACAGGCGGTCCCTCATCAGAATGCCCACCGCTGCTAATTGCCACTTCAGTGCCACCCGCAAACAAAGCCACCGCGGGCCCTCAGCAGCCGGCGGGTCGCGGTGCACGCCGCGTCAGACACCCGTTAGCACGCCTCAATGGCAGAACTGGAGCGTCTGCGTGGCGGCGAGCATGGCGCGCCGGTGTGAAGTGGTCCGAGTGGGCCCGCCGGCGCGCGCTGTCGCCACGGGGGCTCGCTCCACGCGGCGCCGCACGCAGGAGACGACCGTGATCTGAGGCCCAGCGCCGTGCTGGCCGCCCAGCGCCGGCTGCCGCTGGTTGTCTCGGTGGTATCGGGAGCAGGTGTGAGGGCTACACTGGCTGCTGTGCTGCCAGTGTAGCCCTCAGACGCTACAGGAACTGCAGTGTCTGAGGGCTACAGTAGTGGCACCAAAGGTGTCTGTGAGCCACACTTTGGCAGCTCGGTGGCCGTGGTGTCTAGGCCACACTTTGGCAGCTCAGTGGCCGTGGTGCCTGTGCGCCACACTGACAGCCTTTAGCAGCACGGCTACCGGGCTGCCAATGGGTGGCCGGCCCACAGACACCACGGCTCTCTTGCTGCCAGCGTGGCTTCCAGACACTGCAGCTGCCTCGCTAACAATGCTGCTGACAGACACAGCAGTTGTGCTGCCGATGTCGCTCACAGAAATCACAGCTGCCGCACTCCCGATTTGAATCACAGGCAATACGACTACTTCCGCGTCAGCAGAGCCGGACATCCCGCCTGCATGCAGTGGGTTTGATCAGGCCGTAGCGGTACGGCTGTGCCGCCGCTCTGAAGCCGGTCTGATGCCAGAGCCGCGCTCGTGTCATGCGGCTGGCTGAGACGGCCGTGTCTCCCCGCCGGTCGGCCCGGTGTCGAGGTGACCCACTCTGCGGCCGGCACTGGCGCTCGCGCCGTCAGCACCTCGCACCCCGCCGGCTTACGACGCCGTGCGTCACCGCGCTGCGCCGACCCGCCTTTCATCCGGCCAGCGGGCGTTCACGGACGGCGTCGGGAGGTCTCCGGGTCAAGCGCAGTCACGCGATGAACAGCTCGGCACGAGCCGTGATCGAGAGGAGGCGATCGCCGCGCCGTTGTGGCGGCTTCTCTGGCGCCGGTCCATCGTTCAGGGGTCGGCGGCGCCTGAATGGGGGCGGCCGGGCGAGCCGATCGAACCAGCTCGTGAGGCGGCGCGCCAGCGGCGGCCGTCGTGTTGTAACCGGCGCCGGCGCGACGGTTGGCTGGGGTGTGCCCGAAGAAGGTCGTGTCGACCCGGCCGCCTTATCAGCCAGGTCTGACCCAGGTGGCGGCGGCACAATGGCGTGGCCCGGCCCCTTCACCGCGCCGCCCCCGCGCCCCACCGCGCCGCGCCGCGTGCCGCCCTCCTGCGCAGCAATCGCCTCGTCCAAACACCTCGACA